TTCGATTTGTAACATTGAAAACATTCGATTCATCTAGTGGATTCCTCATTGTCTGTGGTTTTTTCCCATTTTGGATTTTCCATGTAAATCTTGTGTTCTTTTCGTATTTTGCAATATTTGTTTGTGCTTCAATTGTGTTTCGATCCGCTTCTACAATTCCATCGCACCTTTAGGCGCTTAAATCTCTAACAAGTGGTATCAGAGCATTCAACGGTTGAAGATGTCGATTGCAAAATTCAAAATTGAGAAGTTTGATGGCAAGATTTCGTTTTCTATTTGGAAAATTCAGATGCGGGCGATTTTAGTTCAGAACGGATTGAAGAAGGCATTGGATGGACAAGAGAGTGCAGGGGTGAATGACAATACTTGGGCTGAATTGGATGAGAACGCATTGACTGCAATACAACTTATGTTGTCAAAAGAAGTCCTGCGTGAGGTTGCTCACGAGACCACCGCACGAGGGCTGTGGTTGAGGCTGGAGACGCAGTATATGTAGAAGTCTCTCGCCAACAAACTTCATTTAAAGGAACACCTTTATATAATTCGAATGCCCGAAGGTACTCCGATCCAATCTCATCTCAATGAATTTAATACAATCCTCATGGATTTGGAAAATTTGGATGTTACAATTGATGATAAAGATAAAGCCATGTTATTAATTGTCTCATTACCACCTTACTACAAGCATTTTCGAGAAATAATGCTTTATGGTTCTCAAGAAACTCTTCAATTTGATGAAGTTAAATCAAATTTGTTGTTGAAGGGAAAATTTGATTTTGGTGGCCAATCGAATGACAACGATGAAGGTTTGATTGTGAGGGGAAGGTCTATGTTGAAAGCTAATGGAGGCAAGAAAAAATCTCGGTCTAAGTTGAGGGGATCGAACGCGCATAAGAGTTGCAATTATTGCAAGAAGTATGGCCATGTTATTTCCGATTGCTGGAAGTTGAAAAACAAGAATGAAAGGTTCGATAAAGGAAAGAAACCTATAGAGGCAGCACAAGCTGATGTCGTGCACTCCGATTCAGACGGCGATCCAATTTTGACAGCGGCATCGGAAACTTGCGTTAAGAACGAGTGGATTTTGGACTCCGGATGCACATTCCATCTCTGTCCCAATCAGGACTGGTTTACAACATTCAAGTCAAAGAATGGCGGTGTAGTACTGATGGGGAATGATGCCCAATGCTTTGTCCATGGCATTGGTTTAGTTCAAATAAAGATTCACGACGGTTGCGTTCGTACTCTTACGAATGTTCGATACGCTCCTGATGTCAAAAGGAATTTGATATCTCTTGGAACTTTGGACTCCCTTGGTTATAAGTTCTCGGCTACAGGTGGAGTTTTGAAGGTTTCTACAGGATCTAGAACAATTATGAAGGCGAATCGGGTTGGATGTTTATACGTCCTACAAGGTCATACCGTATCGGGTTCGGCGGCAGCGGCTTCATCGATGAATGATTGAAATTTCATTTGATTATGGCATTTGCGTTTGGGCCATATGAATGAAAAAGGAATGAAGATGTAAAGCTCTCGAGGTCTTCTTGGTGATCAAGGAATCACAAATTTAGAATTTTGTGAACACTGCGTTTTCGAAAAGCAAAAGAAGATCGGTTTCTCCATTGCCTCTCATCGTACACATGGCGTGCTCGTTTATATTCACTCCGACTTGTGGGGACCGTCGAAGGTTCCATCATTTACTGGGAAAAGATACCTTATGGCATTGATTGATGATTTTTCCCGAAAAATTTGGGTGTATTTTTTGAGGCGGAAGGATGAAGCTTTCGACACTTTCAAGAAGTGGAAAGCTTTTGTGGAGAATCTTACGAGTAAGAAAATAAAATTTCTTAGAACTGACCATGGCTTAGACTTTTGCAGTGGTGAATTCAATGAATTTTGCGCATCGCATGGTATTATGAGGCATAAGACCTTGCCGAGAAAGCCTCAACAAAATGGCGTCGCAGAACGAGTCAATCAGACTTTATTGGAGAGAGCTCGGTGTATGTTTTTGAATGCAGGATTATGGAACCGGCATGATTTGTGGGCTGAAGATGTTTCGACGTCGTGCTATTTGGTAAATCGATCTCCACACTCTGCTATTGACTTTAAAATCCCAGAAGAAATATGGTCAGGTAACCTGGTCGACTATTCCTCTATGTTGTCTTCTGGAAATGGTTCAGCTGTAGGTTTGACATCCTCGTCAAATGACCAGCAGTAATTTGAAGAGAATGTGGAGTTGCCAATGATGTTTTGACCCATTGCTGATGTTCCTAGCTCTTCCGACCCGCAAGTTGATGAATCTACTTCGAGTACCACATTGAATGCTCCGGTGAGACATGATACATACTCAATTGCCAGAGATCGTCCTAGGAGACAAATTCATCCTCCTTCCAGATTTTTAAAGGATTCTGTGGTGGCATATGCTCTGTCCGTGGCACAAGAATTCGGTGAACTGAAAAATTACGATGAAGCAACGTCTTGTGCCGAATCTCCTAAATGGTTTATGGCAATGAAAGAAGAAATTAAAAGTCTCTACAAGAATGGCACTTGGGATCTTGTTGAACTTCCGAAGGGTAGGCGTCCACTACGTTGTAAGTGGATATTCAAGAAAAAAGAAGGCATTTTTCGGGGGTTGAAGAGCCTCGTTGTAAAGCACGGCTAGTCGTCAAGGGATTCAGTCAGCGTGAAGGTATAGACTTCACTGAAATTTTCTCTCTTGTTGTTCGACATACTTCTATTCGTGTTTTGCTCGGTATTGTTGCTATGTTTGATTTAGAATTGGAGCAACTTGATGTAAAGACGGCCTTTCTTCATGGTGACCTTGAGGAAGAAATCTATATGGAGCAGCCCGAGGGCTTCATCATTTCCGAAAAAGAAAATTTGGTGTGCAAATTAAAGAAATCACTTTATGGATTGAAGCAAGCCCCGCGGCAGTGGTACAAAAGGTTTGATTCATTTATGATTGGGCAAGGTTATTCTCGCAGCAAGTATGACGACTGTATTTATTTCAGAAGTTCTCTGATGGTTCATCTTTATACTTGTTGCTTTATGTCGATGACATGTTGATTGCCGCATGTAACATGTCTTGTATTATTAAGTTGAAATCGCAGCTTAGTAATGAGTTTGATATGAAAGATCTGGGTGCTGCGAAGAAAATTCTGGGGATGGAAATTATTAGAGATCGAAAAGGCGGAAAGTTATTTTTATCCCAAAGGAAGTATGTGGAGAAGGTACTCGATCGATTTAATATGCGATCTTGCAAAGCTGTATCTACTCCTTTGGCTGTGCGTTTCAGATTGTGTGAAAACTTGAGTCCTTGCTTAGAAGATGAAGTTGAGGACATGGCGAAAATTCCATACTCAAAATGCGGTTGGTAGCCTAATGTATGCAATGGTTTGCACTAGGCCGGATTTGGCGTATGCCGTGAGTGTTGTGAGCCATTATATGCAGAATGCGGGAAAGGCTCATTGGAATGGTGTTAAGTGGATTTTGCGATACTTGAAAGGTACATCACATCTTGGCCTAGTTTTTGATAGAAACAATGTACTTCATTGGATTTGACCGGTTATGTTGATTCGGATTATGGTGGAGACCTTGATTGCAGACATTCTCTTTCGGGATATATTTTCACTTTATGTGGCTGTTCTATTTCATGGAAATCTTCACTTCAGTCGGTTACCGCTTTATCGACCACCTAGGCGGAATATATAGCAGCTACCGAAGGAGTTAAAGAGGCGATTTGGCTAAGAGGTCTTGTCATGGAGCTTGGTTACGAGCAAAAGGTTCTTACTGTATTTTTTGATACCCAAAGTTCAATACATTTAACGAAAAATAATCGGTATTATGAAAGAACCAAACATATTTCTGTGAAGCACCATTTTATTCGAGAGTCTTACAAGGTGAAGTTGTAGTGGACAAAATTCATACGTCCGAGAACCCGGCTGATATGTTAACTAAGCCACTTGCCGTTGCCAAGTTCCAATATTGTTTGGACTTGGTTAATCTTAGCAGTTGTTGAGTGTCCCGTCGGGGACTTGACGATGAGGATGTTTATTTTTTAAATCGAATTTGTGGCAAGGTGGAGTTTGTCGGGATTGTAATTCTCTTCAAGGCAAGATTTTCAGAAGTTTCCGGCGGCCTTAGTCATAGGCATGACTAGGCGTCCATGTTCTGGATTTGATTTTATATATCTTGCCAAATCAGAAGATTTCGGAGGCTTTAATCACGGGCGTGACCAGGATGGCAAGGTTGACTTGGCACCAAATCAGTAAAGTCATGGGCGTGATCAATGAGTAATTTCCTAAGATTCCATATCTCCATCCTTCCATATATTGGTGATTTCTTATCGATTTGATTTACCTTCCATGTTAGAAGGTCAAAACTTCCCATTTTGCATAGATATTGATAAGGGGATGTTTTTGGGGTTGAGAGAGGTTAATCATTCGATTTGTAACATTGAAAATATTCGATTCATCTAGTGGATTCCTCATCGTCTGTGGTTTTTTTCCGTTTTGGATTTTCCACCTAAATCTTGTGTTCTTTTCGTATTTTGCAATATTTTGTTTGTGTTTCAACTATGTTTCAATCTGCTTCCGCAATTCCATCACACCTTTAGGTGCTTATATTCCTAACATATATATATATATTTATATCATCGTACAATCAGTACCAGAACCAATCAAATAAACAATCTATATATGCATCGATAATTTGGAGTGTAGAGAGTTTTGAGCGTAATTACCTTGTACCATTTCGACAGAAATGGCGGCAAGCATTCTCTAGGAAACAAAATCTGTAAAGAAAAATTATAAAAGAAATCAAAATACAAACAGTTCAATTAATCAGACCCTAAACCAAATTATTCTAGAATAAAAAGCTGGAGTACATACGATCATGTGTTTCTGAAGGGGCTTCGGCCTCTTCTTGGGTCTCCAGACAGCCCCCCTCCTGTCATCGCAAAGATATCCTTTTCCACCTCCTCTGTGCTCAAAGGAACTGTAATGCTCAGCTTCCTCTTTGCCGGCCATAGCAATGACGAGGATAGCTCAGTCTCTTTCTTCTTCTGGGACGGAGATGATGTGTTCTTCACTTCCTTGTCATCCTCCTCACCTGGATCTGGAGCCTTACCGATGGTATTCTTCTGGCTTGTCTTCCGCGGCCTTGGGTTCCAGGTCTTGAAATCCTCACTCGCACCTTGGTCAGCCTTTTCCGGTGGATTAAGGTTTGGGAGCAGATCTAGTTTTTTGCTTGTTGACGGAAGTTTGGTTTTGATTTTGATTTTTCTTTTAGATTTGGATGTGGATAAGCAGATCTCACTTTTAAGTTCAGCATGTGTTTTATTTCTTTCTGCAGATTCAGAAGGATCTGCTGCCGCTGCAGTGGAGGAATCGCCAGTAGGGCCTGATTTCATGGGGCGGCGGCGAGGGGTATTTCTGGGGTTGTTCTTCTTCCACTGCAGCTCCGGCGGGAGAGTAAAACTCTGAAGCTGCAATTTAGGCTTTCCAGGTTCACTTGAGGAAGACATGCTCTTAAATAAGGCAATTATTATAAATATAATATAAGGCAGACTGTTATAAATATAATATATATTTAAAAAAATATCTTTAACACTTTTCCTCAAACTTAAGTTACTCTGAAATCAACTTGAGTTTGTCTAAAATGAAGCACACAGAATTGGAATCGGATAGATTGGAGATAGATATTAAGATAGAATTCTGACCAGATCATCAACTGAATCAATGTTGGAAACAGTATTCTCATCGTCTTAGAGTAAAAAACGAGGCTCTCAATACGGTTAAAGTAGGTATCAATTTGAATGAGTTAGAAACTATATATAAAAAAATTATTTTAATAAATAATAGTAACAATAATAATAGAAGGTGTGTATGATATAGTAACAATCTCTAATAATTTTTAGAAGGTATGTGTGTAATAATAGTAACAATAATAATAGAAGGTGTGTATGATATAGTAATGGTAATAATAGGAAGGAGAAGAGCATAGGTAAGTGAGCTAGTATAAGTAATATCTTCACTACTTTATTTCACTGAAACTTCTATTCTGATTAATTTTTTCATATAATCAAATCTCCTTATAGCTTCGGTGGTTCAGAGATGGCCCCATTGGGTGATCAAGGGAAGAGAACTTCTGCCATGAGAGACATCCAGCCGCGTCGCCGCACAATAAATCCAAGGGAAACTCAGTCGTCCTCTTTGTCCACCCCTCTCTCAGGAAAATGTGAACCAGATGAGATCTGCTCGTCATTAAGACCTGCGCTGCAGAAGGACCCAAAACTGGCAGATGACAGTGACGAGGAAGTGAAGACTTGGAACCTGAGGCCGCGTAAGCTGATCGCAAAGAAGAGAGTGCTGAGCATTACGGTCCCTCTGAGTCAGAAGGAGATCAAAGAAGATATAATTTCTATGACGGGAGGGATGAGGCCGCCCGGGCGACCCAAGAAGAGGCCGAAGCACCTTCAGAATCACATAGATGTACACATATATACAGATTCTTATTCGCAGATCTCATAAAATATCATCCATTGCCTTATTAGGATCTGAAGAGATCAGTTTGCTTACCAAATTAATATGTATTCTGATTTATTATTGTGCTCTTTTTGCACTGCAGATTATCTCGCCCGGAGGATGTCTTGACGACATTTCTGACGATACATATAAGGTACTTTTAAACGAAAAATTATCCCTATGTAATCTATATATATTAATGTATCAGTCAACTTGATCAAATTTTGGTAATTAGTTCATTTGATATGATTGTATGATGATGATTATATGTGCAGATTTAGACGAAGCTAGTCTGGTGTAAGCTTATACTTTGGGGGATGTAAAAGGGTTTGAACACACTTCTAAAATAGTAGAGAACTCTTGTTTAGGTTTGCAAATTGTTGTTGTTGTTTATTTTTTTCATTTTTAGTTAGGGCTTTAAAGATCTCACGTTGTAAAATCGAGAGATTTTGGTAATTTGTTTTTGCTAAAAAATTGATATCAAATTGTATTGATTCCAATTGTGATATAGATATCAAATTTTACTTTTGAACAAACAAAAATAATAAAATATATACCATAAGTATAATATCAAAAGTTTTAAATTCTAAAAGAGCGTAAAATATCAAAAGTTTTAAATTTTAAAAGAGCGTGAAATATCAAAATGTTTTACTTATGGGAGAAGTCTTCAAAACAGAAAAACCACTGCACATGCTCTAACAAAACCCTTATCTTTTCACTTTTTAAAATGGCGATGGCAAGCCAAACATAAAATAGGGACCGTCAATTTATCTTTTAAAACATGTAATCACTGTCAATTATGGTAGGCAAACAACTGCTTTTAAGGTATTAATATTATAGAATTGTCAACCCAGTACTTATTTTTTCTATAGCCGTGGATCATATTGAATGATCCATCCAATGGATATCAGCTAGGATAGTATTTTAAATTTGAATACAAAATTTTTTAGTAATAATTTTAATTTAAGTAAAAGAAGTTAGTAAAAAAAAAATTAACATTGCATTAATTATAAACATTAATTATGTTTCAATCTTTATCCAAATATTGACTATATAACATTGTGCTATCTATATTTTATATACACTCTATTCGTAAGGTCATATAGAGCCGGCAATGGGTTGATTCGTATCGGGTTTGTGTCGGGTTGAATATTTTAAATGGGTTAAATTATTCAACCTTAACCCGATCCGTTTATTATCGTGTCGGGTTCGTGTTAACCCGTTTATTATCATGTTGGGTTCGGGTTGACTCGTGTTGACCCGTATACATAATTAAGTCTAATTTCTTGATTCAAATTAAAATAATTCTTTATTTTGTTGTCGTGTTATGTTAGTTTTTATTGGTTTGAGCGTAAATTAGGTTGAATTATTTAAAATTAAACTTACTTTAAATTAATTTATGAAAAAAATTATTAAATTATGATTATTTTATATATATAATAAATATATTAATCAATATTAATATATTATAATCGGGTTGTCGTGTCGGGTTCGAGTTGAGAGCCTCAACCCAAACCCGACCCATTTATTATCGTGTCGAGTTCGTGTCAAACCATATATATAATCGAGTTGAAATCTTTGACCTAAATCCAATTATTTCGTGTCGGGTCGTGTCAGGTTGTCGTGTCGGGTCAGTTTTTGCCGGCTCTAAGGTCATGATATGATTTTATATTCTATGTGGTGTATGTTCTACATGTTATCTATACTAATAAACTTATATATATATATATATTATCTATGACAAATTATGATAAAATTGAAATATTTTTTGCACTATTTTTAATTTAAGTAAACAATTTAATTCTGAAAAAAAAAATAGATATTATATTAAGTAGACATTTATTATAGTTAACAACATTACATTAATTATGATTCTAAATATTATCCAAATTTTCATCATATTATATTGTGATCTCAACAGTATATACACATGTTATTCGTAATTTCATAATATGTTTCTATTATATATGGTATATGTTGAACATGCTATTGATAGTATTCACTCGCTCCACCGCCAAATTTTCCATTTTTTTTTCTTGTTAATATTTGTTGAGATATTTTAGATATTCAGTGTTAGATTTAGTAGATTTATATTTATATTTGATCTTATTCATAGATTGATTACTTAAAGTTGAGTCTATCGAGTCTGTTTTGTATTGCCTATAAATAGTCTTTTATTTTGATGATTAATAACAAAGTCTCATTATTTTACCCTAAAGCATATTTTTCTCATGTCGTAGATATAGCCTACCAACCTACGTTTCTCCGGGTACATTCAACCTGGATTGTACCCGGAGGTCTTGTGATTTTGAGATCATGTCTTTGCAAGTCTGTCTTTTTGCAAATCTGTATCTGATATCTGTCATCTGTTTGTTGCCTGGATAAAAATCTATCTGCTATATGTATGTTGTCTGTGTGCAATCTGAAACCTGTCTGTGATCTTCTATGTTTATTGTCTGCGTGCGATATGGAACCTGTTTGCGATCTGTCATCTGTCTGCGGCTTGTCTATTGCTTGCGTGCGATCTGAAAACATGTCTGTGATTTGTCATTTGTCCGCTGCTTGTCTATTGTCTGCGTGCGATATGAAATCTGTCTGCGATTTGCCAACTGTCCCCTGCTTGTTTGTTGTCTGCGATCTGCCATCTCTCTACTACTTGTTTGTTGCCTGCATGCGATTTGAAATTTGTCTGCGATCTATCATATGTCCGTGCTTGTCTGTTGTCTGCGTACGATCTCCTTGCTGTTTGCAATCAATCTGTTTTCGGCTCCGATGGAGTCATCTCGTTTTCGACTCCGGTACTCTCGTTTTTTGCTCCGATGGAGTCATGTCATTTTCGGCTCCGGTGGAGTCATGTCGTTTTCGGCTCCAGTGGAGAGTTATCTCGTTTCCGGCTCCGGTGGAGTCATCTCGTTTTTTGCTCCGGTGGAGAGTCATCTCATTTTCAACTCCGGTGGAGAGTCATCCTATTTTTGGCTCCGGTGGAGAGTCATCTCAGTTTTTTTTTCTGGGGTGGAAAGTCATCTTTCATCTCGTTCTTTTTTGCGTTTACATTAAACTTTCTTATGAAACTGAGGTTGATTTCTGTTATACCACTTAAGTTTGAGGGGATGTTGAGATATTTTAGATATTCAGTTTTAGATTTAGTAGACTTATATTTAGATTTGGACTTATCCATAAATTAGATTACATTTTTCGAGTCTGTTTTGTATTGCCTAGATATAGGCCCTTTATTTTGATAATCAATAACACAATCTCATTATTTTACCCTAAAATTTCTAATAATATTTAAATATTAATTATGATATTAAAACATAGTACAAATCAATAGAAAATGATAAAAATACTTCTATTAGTATCTTATAATACAAATATAATGAAATTTGGATAGTAACTCATACAAATATAAAAATATTCTTAATAATGACGTAAAATGTAAATGAAAAAATTGACAATATACGGAGGGAGCATTAATTTTTTTTTAAAAAAAATGATCTAAGGGGCAAATTTTATAAAACTGAAATATTTTTGGAATTATTTTTTTTTTATTTAAATAATAAATTTAATTAATGCAAGAAATAAATATTATATTAATTAGAAATGTTATCATAGTTAAGAAAATCATATTACTTATAGTATTTAATTTTATGAGCGAGTATTGGCCGTACACACGTATGTTATCCGTAATTTCATGATATATTTTAATCCTATATGGTCTATGCGTACATTCCATCCCTCTTCACATTCAGTTGTAACATTGATCCACATTCGAAACCAACTTCGCTAAACTCGTCGGCGTGATTCCGGTGCCAGGCAAGCGTTCCATTTACGGTTCACTTTCAGTTGTAACTTTATTTTTTGTTGGTAGCATATGTTTGGGCCGGTGCCTTATGTGACTCGTCCATACGCCTAATAGATGCTAGCACATGTTTCTGGCTGGGAGGATGTAAATCTAAATAGGGATTTATTACTTATTTATGCTATATATAAAATAATTATATATAAAAATTATTTGATCTTAATGTATTAATAGGGAAATATGGCTCGGTGATTATTGATATTTTGCATATAAATATGTTAGAAAATTTATTACAGGCCTCTAATTTTTGTTTTAAGATTGTTTAGATAATATTATTATTGATATTTTATCTAAAAATAGTAGAAAATTTTAATTTATTTCATTATTTATATTATATTATAGGTAAAAAAAAAAGTATATCTTTAATATATATTTAGGGTTTTTATTTTTGTTTTAATTTTTTTTGTATTAAAAAGAAAATAAATATTTGACAAAATTATTATAATTATTAGGCAAAATTGCCAATAAATCCATTGTAGTTTCGAAACTTAATGTAAATTCTCTATATACTTTAAAAATTGCATGATGCCCTTTATATTTTAAAAAAATGTTCACGAAACTTTTTTTTTATATTTTTTGGGTGATGAGAAGATGATTTCTTATCTATATTTTTTTTTGCATGGCGGGGGTTTTATAAAATGTTTGTTAAAGTATAAGGGGCACCACTCAATTTTTGAATTAAATGGAAAATTTATGCTAAATTTCGAAACTACGTGGAAGTTATGGGCAATTTTGCCTTATTATTATTATCGATACTTTTTGCATAAAAATACTATAATTTTTTTTATTATTCATATTTTACTATAGGTAAAAAAATATTATATATATAAGATTCCCTGACATTTATTTCGGGCCCTTCAAAAGTCACGACCGGCGCTGGATGTAGCTCATGGTTGTGACTATCATCGAAGTGAGTAGCCTTGTATGTGTGGGACTCCAAATTATATTGCAACCTTTTTCTGGACATATGTCCGGTTCTTGTTTTATGTGTTGTCCTTAATCTCGTATATTTAGAGGATGTGCTTACATCATCTCATCTGAACTATTGTATTCATTGTTGATGATTTTTCAATTTTATTTATTTATTTATTTTTGCATCTTGGTATGTGTATATCAACAATTGAAACAGTATGCCGCATCGGGCGGACTAAATTTGAGATATCTCCAATCCAATAAATCTACAATAAATGTGAACACAACTTAATTAATTATGCAAGCGGCTTAACGCTAATCCTATGATATATAAAGTATAGTATGCTTTGAAAGCACTAAGTTATTCGCAACGGATTAAAAAAAACTATTGCAAACATATATGTTTGAATGCACTATGTAATCTGTTAATATAATTGCAAACATTTTGCAAGCCTTAAAGAAAAAAAAAGAAAAAACTATTCTGCTTAAAAATAAAGTATTCTTAAATTTATTTATTTATTTTTTTTTTTCATGAAAATTTTAATCATTTTTTACATTGGCCATTGCTTTCTAGACGTTTTTCTCTCAACCGTCCATTCGATCAAGTTTTTTCCATGTGAAGGA